AGACTTTTCAGAAACATATCCAATTTTACAACCGTTATGAGCACTGTTTACTAATTGAGCCACTGATCCCTATCACTGGAATAGTACATAACTCTCTAGAAGGAAAAAAGAGAGTATTTAGCTTACCTGCTGATATGGTTTATGTCTGGATGTCCCCCCAAAGCCTCATGCAGTCATGGGGCAGGCTTCTAGAGTTTATGACTGATTTATGGTCCAATGCTGAGATTATGGGTGTGAGCGCTACATTCACCCCAGGGTGGGCAGCCTGTATACAATACAAGGGAGGAAAAGAGAGGCTTGTTCGCTGCTGCTCCTCCCTTTGGGCTCTTGCTACTTTTGCTATTTTCCACTGCCACAAATTGTTGCCCTCTTCCATGTGCCAAACTCTGCCTTGGAGTCAGTCGGGTATGGACTGAAATCTCCACAACTGTGAGCTACTTAAGCCTTTCCTTCCTTAATTTTGGGTGTTGGGTATTTTGTCTCAGCAATGAAAGAAAATAACAAACACACCTGCCCTGTCCAGGTACCTTCATATTGACAGCAAACTGTCATTTGGGTCCACATTGGGTCTTGTGTTCAATACAATAATACCTGAAAGGGTATTACTTTATTGAAGTGAAACAATATTTAATTAGAAATAATAACTCTACATTGTTACAGAAAAATAATATATAGTAAGATAAATAATTACATAAAGTAAATAAAATATATATGCTTTACTAAAATTATTTTAGAAAAAAGTCAGTATCTATATTCACAGAGTTAAGCAAATAGTTATCTTAGGCATATAGAATAATCATGTATAGAGAGATATATCTATACATATGTGCACATATACATATAAACATATAGTCCCAAATATACATTATAAATACATGAACGTGTAGACAAAGATAATACCAAAGTATTTTTAACCACACTTTTCTTGAGTAACTGGTAGCCCAGGATATAGCAAAAATATAGGTTAAAGATTGTCGATGCCTGATTATATTGTTTTATTTTTTTGTGTTGTGTTATGTTCTTTATCAGAAGAGACAGGTACAAATAATGTATTCGAACTTTTGTTCAATTTTCCTTAAAAATTGATGTGTCTTCTTTCCCTAATTAGAAGAAATTAGAAAGTATGTATAATATCTATGAAGATATGGCAACCAAAAGACAGTATGATGCGTATAATTGGTGGTCAATTTGAATTTATAGAACTACAGTTGGAATAATATAAGAATCAGATTGTCCTATCCCATGTTCTTAAAGAAAATAAATTTTATTTTATTAACCTTTAAGAATATTCTTCCCCATTTATTCCATTTACATCTTTATGGAAATCTCTTCCTTAATACCAATATATTTTCCATATAGGAAAAAGGGGGAGACATTTAATGTAGGTGATCCTTTTGATATACATTTCTTCCCCCAACATTTTATGAAGGCATCATTCCTTTCTTTTGGGGACAAACTTTTATTGAATGGCTAGTTATGTACTAAGTGCTAGACTAAACCCTAGAAATAAAAAGACTGCAATTTAGAGGTCATAGAGGAGCAGGGGAGAAAAACTGTTTAACACTGTAATAATGGGAAACAAGAACTAAAGCTGAAATTGCAAAAGGTGATTATCATTATTGAGGATCTAATATTTGCTAGACACTCATTACAATAAAGCCTTGGGGGAGTAAAAAAGAGAAAATGATTAATTCATCTTGTGAAGTTAGAAAAACTTCACAAAGTAGCTTTTATTTGAACACTCTTAAAAATACTTGAAATTCAACCCACTGACAATGAAAGAAGAATAGAATGAGGGAAGAACATGTAAACACATATCCTGTGTGAGAGCTTCCACAAGACTGTCTTCGATTTTAGAAATAGTAGTCAGAACCTAGGTGAGTGGATATTCTGCATGAAATAATATTGTGATGACTTATGACACAATATTTATGTGTTGAATACTGGTAATTTTGAGTATTCTCTTTATATGATCTCAGGTATTGGAGTTTTTCTTTCCTCTCAACTCAGAAATGTATCCATAGGATATCCTACTCAATCAAATGTTTTAACAGAGCAGAAAATATTAGTAAATAAAATAACATTAGCTCAGTTATCTCTACATACTTACATACAAAAAGATGAGTAGATGGACATGGGAAATATAGGGTTCATATTCCACAAGTTTACATGATATTTTTATGTAAAAGTATTACTGAGCATAATTGGATTTTACAAGTCATAATCACTACTGCTAAAATAATGTGTTCCATTTAAAATAAATGCTTCCTTTACAATTAGTAATATTAGGGGCTGGGGATTTAGCTCAGAGGCAAAGTGCCTGCCTGGCAAGCGCAAGGTCGTGAGTTCGGTTCCCGGTACCGGAGAAAAACCAAAAAAAAAAAAAAAAAAAAAAAAAAAAAAAAAAAAAACAATTAGTAATATTAGTAAAATTTCCTCTACAGGTAAGAAATATGACTACAAAACATTATGAGATAATGAAGTTTAATGTATTTTGCTTTTCTGTATTCTGCTTTTACTATCAGACAATATTGTACAACCCCCCCATTACTTCAGTTATAATTAATAGCTCATTACATCCTAACTTGTATGATTTTCTCAGTTTTATCATATTTCTAGGTGTTGCTTAAATGTTGCCTAAATATCTTCTTGCACAGAGAAGGAAACATTCCTCAAAATGAAAAGGAATCCTACATATGGTGGAAAATATGTGCAACTCGGGTATCTGATAAAGGCTTAGTGCTCCCAGAATAGAGGAAATTCCTGCAACTCAATGGCGAAAACAAAGCAAACAGAATAAAATATCTCAACCAAAAAATGGGCAAAGGACTTGAATAGATTTCCCCCCTCAAAAAGCAGAAAGCATAAAACTGACCAACATGTATATGAAAGATTATTCAATGCCACTAGTCACCAGAGAAAAAGGAAACAAAATGAGATATTGCCATAGGCCCGTTTGGGCGGCTACTATAAAAGAAAAATAAAGTACAAAATACATAATGAAGGGAATAAGGGAGAAAAGATAAAAGTAAAGCAGAAAGAAAGGAAGAGAGAAAGAAAGAAAAGGAGGAAGGAAAGAAAAAAAGGAAGGAGAAAGGAAGGGAGAGAAGGAGGAAAAGCAGGTAAAATAATGACAACTGTTAATGAGTTTGTGGAGAACTTTAGGACACTGTTGGAAGGAATATAAAACGCAGCATCTATGTTGCATTATGTATGAACTATGAAGACATTATGATCAGTAAATACTCCAGGAACAAAAGACAAATGCTGCAAAATTTTACTTATTTGAAAGATCTAAAACAGGGAAATTCATAGAAGAATGAAATAGAATATTGGTTTGCACAAGATGAAGGAAGGGTAAAGTTAAGCTTCCTGTGAAACAGACAGTGTTCTAGGTCTGCTCTATAATGTACACATAGTTAGCAATACTGTAGGGTACACTTGTGTTGATAAATCTCGTTACATTTTTTTAATCCCGATAAAATAATAATTCTTATTTCTCATGTCAGTAATAAGTCATTCTGATTGGTGTGCTCTGGTTATTGTTATTTTACATTAACTTTTTAACTTGCCTAATTTCTTGGTTAACTGAATTTTTTTATTTTGTATACTTTATATTTTTTCTGTTTTATCTCTACCCTAGATATTATTTTTATAGTTTTGTTATTTATTCATTCACACTACTTAATCATAACATAAAGTAATGCTAATAAAACAACTTTTCATAATGAGTTCAGTTTAAGAAACAGAGGTTAACCAGGAACTTTAAATTTTCAATTTTGTCTAATGTCATCTTCCTTTTGGCCCTCATATAGGGTAACGTTATTCCAAATTTGTGTCTGTTATTTCCTCTGTGTATGATTTCATTGCTATCTGAATTTCAAATATTGTATTGTTTAGCTATTTTTAAAGTATTAGGTTTACTTAGAGGTACGGTTTAATAGATTGAGCAAATACATATTCTTAAAACATCCAGATCTAAAATCAAAAGATATAGAACATTTCTGTCACCATAAAATGTTCTCTTTTGCTATTTTGAAGGCAATTCACTCTCTTTCCCTGCAGATTTTGTAGTGTATAAAAATCTAGTCTTTCCTATGTCATTTTTATTTTACTGTGCCAAATACATTTGATAGGCATTCATCTATTGTGTGTATTCTTTTTGGTTGCAGAATGCTATTCCTTCTACTTGTGAATTGCATCTTATATAGCATTGCTTAGTTTTGCATATTCTGAATTGTATGTAAATTAATTCATACTGCAAGAAATTATTTTGTGGCATCCTTTGTTTCTCACTCTGATGCACAGACTACTCAGCCATACTGTAGTTCACTTAGCTCCAAAATATTTCACCATTTAAAAACAATATTAAAGGGTCAGGGATATAGCTTAGTGTCATAAGCACCTGCCTGGCAAGCACAAGGTCCTGAGTTTGATTCCTGATACCAAAAACAAAATCAATAAAAACAACATTAATTTGCTCTCTATTCTTTAATGAATAATTTGATTTGTTCCGGTTTTTCTTTTATAAAAAACTAGAATACTACCTGTAATCTGTATTAGGTATTATAGAGGAATAGAATTGATAGAATATATAAATTGTGCAAGGTGTTTATTAGGTCGACTTAACAGGATCAGAGACAGGAGATTTCACAGTGTTTATTAGGTCGACTTAACAGGATCAGAGACAGGAGATTTCACAGCTGGCCAGATTTCACAGGCCAACTCCGTGCTGTAGAGCTGAAGCGTCCAGTAATTACTCAATTCATGAAGCCGCAGAACAGAAGCAGTAAAGGATACAACACTAGTCTAAGACCTAAAGCATGGAAGCACCCTGGAGAGTCACTGGTATAATTTCTCCAGGAAAGGATGAAGAAACTGGAGTGTGACATCAACAGGTGAAGCTAGCCAAAAGACACACTTGTTCACACTGAATGGTACTTTTCAAAGATATGTGTGTGGTGGGAACTTCCTTTTTCTTTCCCTTTTGTTCCATCCAGGTTACAAGATTATTGGTTGATACCACCAGCAAAGTGGATGTGTCTTCCTCTTAGCCCTGAGTTTACTGGCCTATGTCTCAATCATCTCTGAAAACACCACAAAGATATGTAAGTGTGCCTTATTAATTATCTGTTAGGCATTTCTTAACTCACAGGAATTGACTCAGCATGATAGTCACACAATCCTGTATTAGTCTCTTGGTTCACATGTATAGTAATATTTCTAGGAAAAAATTGCCATCACAGATTAACTGTGCCTTGAATTTTCACTTTCAAAAGTAAATATCTAAAAACAAAATATAATAGAGTTCATCATTCAAGTTATTACTAAATCCTGTACATAGGTTCTTTTGTTTATTTTTGGCAGATAGCTGAGAAGATATGAATGGTGAGAGGTGATATGAGCATTTTCTGGATTGCAAGTCAATGTAGGCAGTTTTTCAGGTATTTATGGCTAAGTCATATTCCCACCAATGAAATGTGTAACATTAGCTTTTGTAAAATTTCACTTTTAGTTTCTGTTTGGGTTTCTGGTTTTGGTTTTCCATGTTGAGTATTATATGCACATGTAGACCTTGTTGAAAGTATTGAAATATTTCTTTCTAACACACATTTTTAAAATTTTCATTATTATTTAAACATTTTCCTTTCCTCATTTCATAGACACTACTTATATCTTATAATTGCTTTAAAGTTCTGTGCTGTGTACCAAATCTCTCACATAATTTTATAAATTTTTTATAAAACAGATTTGCTCACGTGTTTTCCTATGGAAACATGTTTTCCCTCTATCCTTACACTACTTTTACACAGTATAGTATCATTCTCATCAGTAATGATAGCTCTAACATTTAAAAAATATTTCTCTGTGTGTGGACTAAACAGTTGGTCTAATTTTCTGTCTTTGCATCAATACCTTAATTACTGTTGCCTTATAAGAAGTCTTAAATTTTCAAATAAAAGTCTTCCATTACTCTTTGTTTAAATATTTGTATACAAAAATATAGCATTTCATATCACATTATGAGTAAAATTAGAATAGTCGTGGATATTGTGGTGAATTTGTGGTTAATTAGAAATTAGAATCTGTAATATTATAGCCCTCTGATCATGAATATAATGGTTTTCTTTCCATAGGGGACCTTTCAGGTATCTCAGTAAAATATTGTATTTGTTAATTAATATCTAGAAATTATGTTTAATACATTAGGAGATCCTTCATTTATCTTTTATTTCAGGGTACATATTTTAATTTATACTGTAAGGATTTTCCTGAGTTCTTTAGGTATTATGGTTCAAACTACCACCCTTTCCCAATTTCTGTTTTTTTTAGCAATTACTGTTCCTTTTTCCAGCATGTACACTACATATTTCCTCTTACTACTTGTACCAATATCTCAATAGTGATTTCTGCCATCATTTGTATTGCGTATCTATGATTTCAAAATAATTTCATGATTATTGTCTGGATCCGTTACCACCACTGATGTTTTCAAAGTGGTTTTTGAGTCACTTATCCATGGCTGCTTAACCAGCCAGCCTCAAACCAAGTGATTTAAAACAAATATCATTTATTATCACTCATTATAATGAATGTGATTCTGTGAAGGCATGCACAACTGGCCTCAGCTGGGCTTGTTCATGCACTTGAGCTCAGCTAAGAAACTGGTGAAATTGCCTGCTTTAAGAGGGTGTCATTTATCATTTCCACTGGGCTTTACCATCTGGTAGTGTCAGCGTTCCATAATTTAAAAGCATACAAAGCCTCAGGGGCTTGGTTTTGGAACTGGTACAACATGGTTCACAGTAACCTGGGGGTCAAAACAAGTTACAACATAGGATCAGAGTGGAGAAATAGATTCCATTTCTTTATGTGATGGCCTAGAAGTTACCATCTCAAAGGGAAGTTGTGAATAATTGTGGACATTTTTGTAACCTATAATGTCATTTTTTTTTAATTGACTATTTAGAAAATTTTATTTGTCCACTTGTCAGTGTATTTTATATTGGAATATAGACCACACCAGGAAAGCAGGAGCAATGTCTCATTCTACATGTGTGTATGCGCGTGTGTTTGTATATTCATATGTTTTGTCACTGGTTATTTTGGAGGTCTTACATGAATTGCAAATGTAGTGAATTTATGTCATGGCAATTTCCAACATAGACAATTAATTTGGAGCCTTTCTCAAAATTCAGATATTGTTAGATCAACTACTGATGATGCTACTCACAACAGGGGTTTCTCTTTCAAGGATCTGTTTTTTTTTTGTTTTGTTTTGTTTTGGTTTTTTTTTTGTTTGTTTGTTTGTTTTGCAGTACTGGGGATCGAACTCACGACCTTCCGCTTGCCAGGCAAGCGCTTATGCCACTGAGCTATATCCCCAGCTCAAGGATCTGTTTTGATTGATGATTTCTGACTTCCTGTCATAGTTCACGACTGTGGCATGGCACAAAGGATGAAAAACTACATGGAGTCCATGTCCAATTCAAACTCCAAGAAGACCCAGAGGGACTCCCCTAACCGAGCCCCTTCAGTGTGAAAGTCTCCTCAGGACAGCCCTAAACTCAAGTTTTGCACGGTTTTTATTTATGGAACCAGGAAGGAAGGATAAAAGATAGAGGAAGGACATCAGTGCAGGAATCCATGTAAGGTGAAGTTAAAGGACAAGAGTACAGGAAAAGACAGGGGAAAGTCAAGGTGATCTGTTATATAACTGAACTTGGAATCTAAATAATAAATTAGAGCATATGGGAAGAACAAGGGCCGGAGCATTCATTCCTTAAGGCAATGGATTGTAATCCTACTTGGATTTGTGGCCCTGTGGGCTATCTTCTAATCTCTAACCATTTATTCTAGGAGGTTTTGGTTGTGTGGCTCCAATGCCCCATAGCTCTGCATATCCATCTCATATATACTTCTGGCCAATGCCTCACAACTTACAGCACTCTTCCATTTCCTGTGTACTTCTCATAGCCTATTCAGACTTACTAAGTTAATCTATAAATTCATGATGAAGTCCATTGGAATAGATGCCTTTTGGTCTGCTACAAGAAATAAAATTCACTAAGCCAAAAATATGTCCTCAGGCTATTTACGATAATAACTGAGATACAATGTTCACATCACTGAGTGTTACCTCAGCATTAATTTCAAATGTAAGAAGCAGACTTTATTCCTGTATCTTACAGATTTTAAACATTTAATTCTTTATTTTGATATTCCATAGGTTCTATAAGCAGTCTCTAGAACTGAAAGAAATTGAGAGAGAACATACACATAAAATGGCAATTTCTTCACCACCTAACAACCACAGCCTTAAATCCCTATGAGAAATACACAGCAAGGCAGATTGTGTCAGTATGCATATAGATAGATAGATAGATAGATAGATAGATAGATAGATGAGAAATATAATGCGAGTTAAACATAATTGTAATTTTTCTGGAAGCTATATTCAAGAGTAAGTATGAAAAGGTGAAACACGTCTGTAAACATTTTATTTAACCGAAAATGTCATGGGATCAATAAGTTATCAAAATACAAAATTATTTTAAAGTACTTAATTCTTTCTTTTCATACTAAGTGCTTGAAAATGAGGATGCATTTTAAATTAACAGCATATCTCTGTTTGCACTCCAATGGTCACATGTAGCTTGTGTTAATTGTATTGCAAAGCACGACACAATCTAGAATAAGCATGAGACTTGTAATTCTTTACTACCCACCCCACATCAGGTATGGAATTTTAGCTTATTTACTTAAATGAAGAAGAAGAAGAATAAGAAGGGAAAAAGAAGATGGGGCAGAAGTTAGGAAAAAATTCACTAACAGAATAACATTAGACTTCACCCTTCTGAAGAGTTATTAATATTTTTATCTGACTTACTATGAACAACTTCCTTCTGAGGACAAGTTGTACTTGGGGACCAAAGGTACTTGTTCTCTTCCAGGAGGTTAGAATGAGCAGCTGTCATGTGGGTACTCATGTTTAAGTTGTGGATAATTAGAAGAAAAATACATACTGAAACTAAGAATGCAGATTGAAAGTGCAGCAGCAGCATCACATCAAATAGATGATATAAATTCTTGTAAATTTATCTATTTTATTATTTGCTAACCATGCTCATAATATGTCTACCGATTTCACTTACTTCTGAGGATTGCACTTAACAGTCTCATATCCACATTTTCCTGATTATTGGATAAATGCTTATCACATCATAAAGCTGATTGCATCATACTGAGTAATCTAGTATAGAAGTGAATGCACAGTATTTCTCATTTGAAGGAAATAATTTCATTACTGTCTTGGAAACATTTTCAAGCATATTTTTCAATAAAATTGTTTCCATGGAATAGGTCATTGAATATAGAAATGAAGGTGCTACTGGATGGCTGTAAATATTTTAGGTATACCATCAGGGTTTAAATCATATTTGTCTACCTTGTCTGTCCAACAAAATGCAAGGTTTTTATGAAAGCCAAGGATACGTCTGTGAACATTATAAATTCCTTGACCCTAAACTGAATGCTATAAATTTCTTGATATATTTCAGAGTGAAACATGAATTTGAGAATGGACTTTTGCAATACATGGAATAATAGGATAAACCTATCATCTAGTTAAATCTATAAAAATGTAGCACATGCAACCACCTCATATAGACTCTTACATTTGACTAATATTCATTTGCTCTTATATATTTATTATGAAGGTTGAAAAATACGTATCACAGTTATTTTAAGCACATTAAATGCATTTTTACTAATCTTCACCATGATATATAAATAAATTATCCATCTTCAATTTGTAGATGGGGAATATACTTTAATTAATTAATTGATCAAGTTACTAGAAAAAAAATAGTGGATCACAGTTAAATAGTGTAAGACTGACTCTAATGCCCAAGTACTCTGTTAATGTTCAATATAATCATTTCTATTGGGAGCAACTTGGAAGGCACAGTCAGCGTTTTGCAGTTGACAGTCAATAATTAGAAAGCTAATAAATCTAAAAGCCAACTGTTTCTGTCATGGCATTAATGGAGCAGCCACTTCTGTCTCTGTATTTTTGGTTAATTACCACACCTCTCAGGTAGTTTAACTGGTAGTCTCTACCTGAGTATGCTTAATACCACCTGAGACATGCAGTTATCACTCACATGTATACTGCCTGCTAAGTACCACTGATTAACCCACAAACTTAGCTTAGCATTGTACTCACTGGAGTATTTTATGAATAAGATGTGGAAGGGAAATAAAAAAGAAATTAAATGTCTTTACAGTTTCCTTTAGTATATGTAGGTCTACGGATTCTGCTATCCTATCATGATCTTAAAAGTAATAAAATGTGGCAATCGTTTATGAAATGAGATTACATAAAATGAATATAACAATAACAACAGAAGTATCAGCTAACAATTTCTTTTTTTTTTTTTTTT